TAACGGTCTAGGCACCTAAAAGTATAACGTTAAAAATATTAGACACTTATTTTTAACGAAAAATTCTTTAGACACTTAACGTTAATTTTAGGTATAGTTTGATCACCTATTTTTACATTAAGCCTTTGGAAATTAGGAACTTAAATGTGCACGATACCCGAACTCGTTCACTTCTGACTCGATTCCATTGAGTTAGTTTTTTTTTTTCTAAAAAGAAAGTCAATGTCAAACCAAGTCATGTTGAAATTTTAGATTATGAGTTTGGATCAGATCATATTTAAGTTTAGGATGAAAAACATTCAATTTGACTTAAATTAAAAAAATATATATAATTATATTCTATATATCTATTTAAGTTTAGGATGAAAAACATTCAATTTGACTTAAATTAAAAAATAATATAATTATACTCTATATATCTAGGGATAATTATAATAGTACTCATGTCTATATTTTTTTCTTATTAGATCTCTATCTTATCAAATAAAATTACGAAATATATATATGTGTATGTAATATCGAGTGGATGTAGACTTTATCTAAAAAAAAGGGTCAAGTTTTGAATTGGGTGATTATAATTAATATTATAAGATATAATGTTTCTTTTATTGATCTAGGGTAATTATAAGATTTTATGTTTCTTTTATTGATATAGGGTGATTATAAGATAATATTTATTTTAAAGATTCTCAACTATTTGACAATGAAAGTTCAAGTACCCTTGTAGTCTCTAGTGCTCAAACCTGAGACATCTACGGATACCAACTATCCTTTTAACCACTGAATTACTTAATATTATGTTTTTTGTTTTGATCCCTCATTATTAAAAAATTAACAATTTAAAATGAATTTTTTTTAAACTTCTATGTCACATTTCTCTTTCATCATTAGTATATTTTAATTGATTTAATTTTTATAAATGATGACATATGTCATCACCTAATTGGTTGAATATGATCGTATAAGATTAATCTTTTAATTCAAATTCAGAATATGGCATAATAAATTTTTAAATAAAAGATTGGAGATCAAAACAAAATTAAATTTAGATAAAAATTTAACTTAGATATATCCTTTATGTATTTTTAAGGTTTTAGTTGTTTGAGGATTTCTCCTTCTCAGTCGCTTCCTTTTTAGCTCTTCACTTCCGATCCTCCTATAACAACATAAATAGAAGATGTTGATATGATTCTCCACAAAACATTTTATGAATTTTTGTCCATTGAATTAAATAGTTCCTCATATCCCACGTAATTTAATTACATAAATGAATCCAAGAACTACAAAGGTGACCTCTGACAATTCATCTACATGTATTTTGTATGCGCATACATAATTACATGTGATTGCATGGATCGAATCATAGAGGTAAAAAATTGTGACCCCATCCTTCCTCGTACCTATCCCTACTTGTCCATGAATCTCTATATTACACTTTTATATATATAAAAGAATATAGTACTTAAAGCCAAAGCATTATCTTGCTCTGCATTAGGATCACCCTTCAGCATTCACACTTTCATAATTGTTACACTCTAATAGGAGTTCCAAAATACTTTAAATTTGAACTCCGTTAGAGTTCACATTATGTATACCTATGGAAGGGTTAAATCCCATAGTCCATCTACCCTACCAATCATGCAAATTGCCTCTCGCATAAGTTCTTTTTAACAACCTTGATCCATTCTCTTAGAGGAGGATTTCAGCCCACTTTCTTCAATTACCCAACACTAAGCCAATGTCATACTTCTCACTTTAAACATCACATTTTCCCTTTGTTTCCACAACTTCCAATAAACTATTCCAAAAATGTATCCGACTCCACATTTGCATAATTGCAGCTATGTTTATTTGTTTATTTTAAATATTATATAAATATAAAAATATTTGCAATAATTATTATTCTCACTTTAAAAAGATATAAACTAATGTTTTTTTTTTCAAACGACTTAACTTTCAATTAATTCCTAATCTAATTTAATAAGAGGTTCTATAATAAGTAACAATAAGTCTATATTTTAATTGCAGTCAAATAAGACTTTTAACTTCAAATAGTATCTGAACCCATCAAGTGACTCAGTGGTTAAAGGAATATTTTTTTCATATATGTACTGAGTTTGGATAACTATGTTTGTAGGAAGTGTACACGTTTTTAATTGGTTAAGAAAATTATGAACAAATATTATCTTATAATCACATCATATAATTTTTAAAAAAAACCCTTCAAATGATACTTAAATAAGCTCTTAAACTTCACCTTGTATTTTAATTATATAATTATTTATAATGATACTTCTAAAGAGGTATTTTAAGGAAAATAAATATTGATAGAAGTATAAAGGAGTCTAGAAATTGAAGAAAGAAATAAATTGTAAAGAGCAAATTGAAAAAGTTGAGAGATTAAATTATAAAAAAGAATAAATTTATTTTAAAAAGGAGGGATTGATGTTACACATGTATTTTATTGTAGTTGATTAGCAAATGGTTTAAATTTGATAAAAATAGACTTAAAACGATATAGTTTTAATATAATTTTAATACGAAGAAGAAATTGAAGAAAAAAATAATGAACAAATAATAAGATAATCAAATTAATTAGTCAATTTTTTTTTTAAAATAATTCTTACCTAGCTAGGGAGAGGAAAGGAAAATTTTGTTTATAATAGATATTGAACTCACAACTTAGGGGGAGAGAATGTGTCAACTGAAAGGTTTTAATCACTTACTCTAAGGATTGTTAACAATTAATTGATTAAGGCTAAATACTTAAAAAAGATATAGTTTTAATATTTGGTTTTCTTGGTTATTTAAATTTTTAAAATTTAAATTTGATGCAAAATTAAAATTCGAAACTATTAATTCTAAGTGATTCGAATAACTCAAACAACTTGACAAATAAATTTGAAAAACTTAGAATTAAAAAAATTAAATTTTACTGAACAAAGTGAGTATATATTAATCTACTTGAAAATGAGTCAAACAACTCGCATTAATTGATTCATTCCAAATTGAAAGAGAATGAAAATGTCCCAACTATTGATCATTGAAATTGAAGTTGACAGTTTATCCTTTGTTTTTCTTGGTAATGAAATGAGCACCCCATTCATTATCTACATCAGACAAAACTCAAGAAATGTGTCACTTTTGTCAACCTTGTTATTCATATGTCCACTTCACCCGTGGACAGATTTCTTCCCTAATGAACAAATTTGTTCATGATAATGCAACACTTTGACTGATTTAGTTCAAAAATTGCATGTTGAAATACTTTATTTTTAATAAGCTAACTTCTAATAAATATTATTTAAAACTCAATTAAGAAGTAGGTAACTTTTGGTTTGAAATTTTGAAAGTTAAGTAACTAAATAAAATATTATTTTAAACAAGAATTATGCTTGTGGAACACGCCAATTTATGTTGTTTGATTAGCATTGATTCCTCCGTCGACCCCAAATATATATATATATATATATATATATATAATGCTCCTTAAAATATAATTGGTTCCTACTTTAGTTTCAATAAATATTACATTAATTTTGGCCATAAATGGAGATGTGATGTTTTACCATTTCATTGCGTTTATTTAGTACATACGGTGTCTTTTTTATATAAAAAAAAGTAACTGTATTTCAATGAGATAATGAAACTCACTGTATCCTAACATGTTTTGAAAACTAAAAAAGATATTAAAAAAAATAGAACATTTTCGGGTTGATCACAAATCTTCAAATATTTTCATTTAATCACTAATGTTAACTTTATTTCCATTTTAGTCGGTCAGTTAATTTCTTGGTAGTGACTGTATTATGTCCTGATTGATTAAAAATATCACTAACCGTTAAACATGGAGATCGAACACAACTCGCCAAAACACGCTTCACTTACTATGACAAACACATGTACTGAACATAAGTTAACCCTAAGTAACTAAATGAAAACGAAGCTAAAGTTGACGATTAAAATGAAAAAAAATAAAGTTTAATAATTAATATATATATTTTTTTAAAAATTAGTGATCAATCATCCATTTGTTGCCTTCTTTGGTTTTCAAATGACAAATTAATTTTCTTTTGAATAGTCTCGAATAATTAAAAACACCATTGGTGGTACAATGACATTAATACTCGTCTTTGTATAGTCTAAGTTATATCAGAATAGTTGTATATCGAGTATTCCGAACTTTATAAGTGAAGTGCAGCAATTATTCCGCTTTCCTTTAGACAATAAATTTAGACTTGCAAAAAGGAATTGAACTCATCAAGTGAATTCAATGATCGAAGGGAATGATATTTTTTTTAAAGTATTGGGTTTGAGAAAATACATCCATATTTGAGATAATAACTTTTCGGAGAAGTTATAAAAGTAATATAAAGTTTAACATTAAACACAATTCATATTGGGATAATAATACAAGATCTCCTTATTTTATATCTTTCTTTCCTTTTATTTTAAAACAAAAAATTATTTATTTATTATTTTTAGTACAATTCATAATAGGTTTGGTGTTAAAATTTTTTAAGGTTGAGTATATAAATAATTATCTTACTATTAATTTTTTTTATCATCTATTTTAAAAAAAATATTAAATAATAATAATATAGTTTATCAAAATCATTTTTTCTCACCAGCATAAGGATCTTTCACATAAGGATTCAACATTAAAGGATATTTCATATAAGAAAACACAGTCACAAATAACAGTATTCACACTTTCTTATTGGTACGTTTCAGCTTTCAACATCGATGTTTTTTGTTCAACATGGAGTCTTCAGATAAACCAAAAATCACGCGAGTATAAATCTTTAATTTTAAACCAAAGTTTGGTTATCGGTTGATATTTGCTTTTTATATATATAAAAAAGATGTCTATGTATGTTCTTTCAAGAAATTTCAACTCCTCCTTTTCCCCATATTTTCAAAGTATCTCCAAACACTGAACTCTAAGACCACTGTTTACCTCGGCTGAGAGCTCGTACAATAAGAAAAATATTACTACTATGGAGAAAAACATACCGGTTCGAAAGTCTGACCGCTCAACTGCCGATATGCTTTCTTGGACGCAGGAAACGGTGTCTTCCTTCTCCAACGCCACCGCCCACCGTTCCTCTGCTCGTTCCAACCAGGTTTATTTCTACATTCGTATGAAGGTTGTTGTGCATGATTGTTTTCCGTACACATTTTCTTTATCTGAAGAATGGTGTATTGAATAACAGCCGTCCGATGGAATCAGCAAAGTGGTGTTTGGAGGTCGGGTTACTGATGACGAAGCTCAATCTCTCTTGAAGAAGTAACATCCCTTTCTATTCGTACTTTTGCTTTGCCTTTCCAGAAATAAGATTTTTTTGGGGAGACAAATTTTTTTTTGGGTTCACCGTTGGTATTTCAGGAAGCCATGGTCAGGCAACAAAATGAAAGAGATGAGTGGTAGCGGCATATTTGGTTCAAATGATACACCTGAACCGACTAGTCGATCACACTTGCGCATGTATCAGGTAATCGATTCGGTCATGCTAACACCATGAACATGATTTGAAAGTTTTGGTGATATGATTTTTAGGAAGCAGTGAATGGAGTTAGCCAGATATCATTGGGTGGTGATGGAAGTGTTCCTGCTAAGAAGCCTACCTCCCTCCCTGCGATAGCCAAGCAGCGGGAGTTGAGCGGCACATTACGATCACAGTCGGATTCAAAGCATAAAAGACAAATATCAAGTTCAAAGTATAAGGAGTTGAGCGGACATGATATCTTTGCTCCTCCTGATGGAATTAAGCCACCTTCATTGGCAACGCAACCCAAACAAAGCTCCGGAGAATCCGTACCACGCAATGTGCCAACTTCTGTCAAAGTTTCAAATGTGAGTTCATTTTTTTCCCTTCTGTTTGATAATCCTTTCTCATTTATCTTTTTATAAACTAGCTAGAAATATTTGATTTCTGTTGCAATTGTTATAGCCTGCTGGAGGCCAGAAAAGTATCCAAGTGAGCGGGGAACCTGTTATAAAGACGGCAAAGAAGATACATAACCACAAACTCCAAGAGCTAACGGGAAATGGTATCTTCAAGGAAGATGTTGGACCGGGTTCCGGCGAAAAACCCTTGAGCCGGGCTAAACTGCGAGAAATGAGCGGCAATAACATCTTTTCCGACGGGAAGGTAGAATCTCGAGATCATCTGGGCGGTGTACGCAAGCCCCCTGGTGGCGGGAGCAGCATTTACCTGTTTTAGGTTTTGATATATATATATATATATATATATATATATATATATATATATTGCGCTGCCTGTGTACCCCAGTAAGTGTCTTTGCATTACATATATATTGACTATGCAAGTGCCCTTGGTGCCTTACGACGATCGAGTTTCGGCATTAGAGTGGCTTATGTATGCTTCGTTTATCGTTAGATCGAGATGTTTTAGATCGGAACCGTCGGTGAAGGGACTAATTGAGTCATCTGGAACAGTTTTTTCTAGTGTTGTGTTTGTCGTTTGTTTTGGATTCCTGACAAACTTTGTTTGTTGCTGTGGAATAGTATCTACTTGTTACTGAGTTGAGCTTAAACATGTTCATTAATCTTCAAAATGTTAAAATATTGATAATTTCAATACATATATCCAAGCATCCAATTCATTATTCGACCAATTTCATTTAAAATTTCAGAAATATTAACAGGCGGAACATGCTTATAATCATCAGGTAAAATAAATTGTTAGCAAGAGAAAAAAAACATGACACGGCGGGGTGGACTAACCTATTGAAGAGGATTGACGAGATAGTAATTATCTGAAAATTTTAAATTTTCGTATATTTATAGAGCATAAAGTAATATTATTTTAGAATATTTTTAGTGATAACTCGTTCACCTTTTCAAACTTTATAACTTGATTTCAGATATTTTAGAAAAATATTATTATTATTTATAATTGAATCCAAAGATGTGGGGAAATTTGAAAATTTAATTTTATTATAATATCATTCAAATATATAAAAATTATGAAACATAGAGATGGCATGGCACCAACGTTCATCCAAATTCGCGAGCTGAAGTTATCTTAATGGCGCATTAATACCAAACATAAAGAAAGCAGTTTCGTTCTGCAAAAAAGCCTCACAAAACCCTCTTTAGTTTTCGGCTACAGATTATGTAATAATTCTGAAAGGTTCAAATACAAACCCTGGTAAAATTTGCTACCACTGACCTTGCCTTGAGCTCTCATGATTTACATCCAAGCATTTCCAGCTTCACAGAGTAGTAAACTCATGGTAAAGCTCGATTATCGGTTTCTTCTCAAAGTAGTAAAACCTTCTTCAGTTACCGTTTTGATCTTTGAGCTTCACCCAAAAAAAAACCCCGAAAACCCAGAGTTGCCTGAATAAGGAAAGGTTGAAAATGGGGAGTAAATTAGGAAGACGAGTTGTAAACTTCGCGAACCTTCCGGTCTACCTATTAATTCCAAACACGTTATTGATGATAAATTATAATGATGCATGTCATCCAAGTATTATGAGATGTTTTTTTTTTCTTTTGTTGAAATTTGATTTAAATTTTTGTTTCATTGATAGAGCATAATTAGTAGTGTGGTTTTCAAAGGGTGGAAAGTTATTGAATTTATGAAATTGCTTTGGAGTTTAGCATGATTGTTGGTCAAATTTATTTGAATCATGTGTTGCCTTGTTGAGAAATCCAATTTCTGCCTGTTTTATGTTTCATTTCAGACACATTTCTAGTGGCTTGTTTATAAGTTCCAAGTTGTTTTCTGCTTTATACATTGATGGAATGTAGTGTTGGTAAGGATGACATGGTTCAAGACTGAGAGTTATGTGCTGAGATCACAGTTCTTTTCCATTATGAGCATGTTCTATGATCTAAGAACAAAAGAAATTTGATAATTGCATAAGAAAATCACACTTCCCTTCATGAATATTTGCTATGGTCTTAAAGCAGCTTACCATTAAGATTTACATGACTGAACATGCCCCTTGCATCTTTCACATAGAAGAAAGAGATGCAGAGATACTTTAAGATAAGATATTGCATGATGATAACATTCATCTAAACCTTTTGAAATAAGCTAGTCAAAGATGGAAAAAAGATGCACATAATGCTGTCAAGGCTATTGCTTCAATCGAGCTGCTTGAGCATTGCATTATAAAATGCTTACTGCGAATGAATTCATGAGACTGATCGCCTACGTCTAAAGCTGAGTCTAAAGCTAGCTCTATTTTGCCTTTGCTGTCCATCTCCATTGTCATCACTTTCTGCCATTATATGGAAAGAGTTCTTAATCTTCCTCCAATTCAAAATCCAACCAGATGCATTCTTGTGCTTGCTTGTTATCTTTTCATACACTTGTTGAAGATCAGAGTAGTCATTTTGTAGTTCTGTCATCTTTGTCTTTACATTCTCGAGTTCTGATTTGAGGTTCTTTATCTCTGTGTTTGTGGATGGCCGGGGTTCATATTGTTCAGAATTATCACCGACTGTCATTGGTTCCTTACCCTGCATTGCCATCCTCATCTTTGCTTGCTCCGAAAATAAAACCTGCATGTATTTAGTTGATGAACCGTATTAGCTCTTGAAGATGAGTTTTATGCCTTGTGAGTTTGTCTATTATCAGAGTGGCAATAGCTTTCCTTGATGCACATTCTCCTCATTCTGATTGCATTTTTTTCACTATTATGTTACCGGAAAATAAGTTCTCCAGTGAATGATGCACACGGCCATATATGTGTACGTGTCTGATTTTTTTTTCTGGTTTTAAGTGAACTATGATTAATTTATCTATTAATTTTGCTCATAGAATTTACTCGAGCTTTTTCAAGCTAAGGACGTGCACTTGTATAGGGTTGCCTTTCGGCTTTTTCACTAGATGATACGCTTTTCAAATGAAAAGTGGTTGGTATAGACGTGTGCCTGATGCAGATGACCTATCTCTATATTATACTTATTTACCTGAATGCCACGATCATGATTGGTCAATAGTCATTTCCATTGAAACATGAAGATCTACAATCATAGTGACAACCATACTTCCACTTGTTTACTCGTGGATTTCCTATTTATTTAAAGCTTTAAGGAATGCTTTCACAGTTATGTCAGGTATATTTCTATTGCTAGCTTGTCTTTCGTGGCCTAAAATGTTTAATGCAACTGCAGATTGGGTCCCTAAAGTTGCAGTATTACTCTATGTTATTCGGACTTGGGAGTGAGTGTCTAATATTGGTATGTACCTGGAACAGGTATGCTTAAGACTTTTATAAAGTTTTCCATGTATTTGGAGGATTCTTGGAGGTTATATTCCCATATTCATGTGTCAGCCACAAGTATCAGACATGGTACTTCAAGAAAAATGAAGGGTCTGTGCAACATAGGTATTACGTGGAAATATTGGTTTGCTTTAGAATTAGGAAATGGCAGTTTTGTGTAATTCTTTGAGAATCGTCTCATTGAGCTTGATAGCTGATACAATATAAATTCTCATGGGAGATACTGATGCAATTTAAGGTTTTTGCATATGAAATTCTGAATTAGGTTACCTGGACAACAATTCTTAGGGGTAGCCGATCATTTTGTGCAGCATGCATGCATGCATCAAATGATAGTTTCTCACAGTTCATTATTTTGCACAATCTTCTGCGGTCATGCTCAGATAATGAAGGATGTGTCTGAAAAGGATATCAAGAATTAGATATTTACACCCAAGTCAACAAATGATATATAAGTAATAAAAAGCTTAGCGAGTAACCTTGAGATAGATGTCGATGGCTCTATAGAGACCGTCATCACATGATCGAGCATTTTCTGGCAAGGATTCAGCAAGAACTTGAAATTTTGTGATGGAAAGATTCGGATCCCTTGCTATTTCGGCCAAGTAGTTGTCTAATAGCTTACTAACATTTATTTTCCCCATCTTTTGTTGCTGTTGTTGTTGCTCATGCATCAGGAAATAGTCCAAAATCCTTTGCACCACGTCTATGTTATGCATTGTTCCCTGCTCAAGTGAACTGTTGAAGAAGGTATATATAAAGATGGATTATAAAGCAGTTTAATTGCATGGTTATGAAAGGGATTCTCCTCTGGAAGTTCCTTTGTGGATTAGCTTGCTGAATTGTAGAATCTATTAATGAGGTAGAATGGTAGAATACTCACTTTATCATTATTCCTTGATCTTCATCCTTATAATTAGGAATCAGTAGATCGTTTACATTGGCATCTTCCAGCATCAATCCAATTCTCTTTTCAAGATCTGATATCAGAGCTGGAGATGCAGAATACACCATCGCTGTTTTCAACATCTGCAACAAGAACTTACATGAAACTGCTCCATTTTGAGCAGGAAGCATGCTTACTAGGCTCTCAATAATCGTTCTTTGTTCCTTGTTTTGTCCTGCACTCTCTTCTTCCTTCCTTCTCAAAATACTAAATTGCAACTCGCTCTTTCCAAACGCATATCCTCTTAGTCCTTCCAAACCCTCATCCATATCCGGCAGCCACTTATCTGCATAATTCATTATGCATTTACCAATGATCTCTGCTTTTGTTACTTTGCTCTAATTGCTGTCATAATCCTCATGAAATGATCAATGCGAAGGGTAGCCACATCATCAGACCACCAACTTTCTTCCCTAACTAGTTCTCCGGTTAATGAACTCTCTCTCGAAGCCTTATAAGCTATTGAGTCACAACATCTTCTGACAATCTGAAGGTTTTCTGCCCATGGAGATAGAGTTTCACAAGATTTGAGGACAGTAATAGTGTCTGTTATGTATGGCTCATAAAAAGTCTCGTTGTGGGGTTACAAATTATGTGGGTTGGGGGTGTGGGGGCGCAGCCCCCGCGGTACGGTACAGGGTTGATTTTGTAATTATGTACCAGGGTTTTCTATTATAAATAGAGATGTAACCTAGACCTAAAATATTCATTGAATAAAACTTCTAGCGCCGCCTAGGCACCGAGGACGTAAGCACATTGCCGAACCTCGTAAAATTCTCGTGTTCTTTCGTTTTCTTTACCCGTTTTCGTCAACAATTGGTATCAGATGTCAGGAGCAAAATTCGAAGTCGCGAAATTCGATGGTCAGGGTAACTTCGGATTATGGCAAACGAGGGTGAAGGATCTATTGGCGCAGCAAGGGATCTTGAAGGCTTTGCGACCTACAAAGCCGGCGTCGATGGATGAGGAAGATTGGGAAGAATTGCAGCAGCGAGCGGCAGGAACCATACGATTATGCTTGGCGGACGAGGTCATGTATCACATCATGCATCTATCGTCTCCAGACGAAATTTGGAGGAAGTTGGAAAGTCAGTTTATGTCCAAATCCTTAACGACAAAACTGTATCTGAAGCAGCGGCTGTATGGGCTGAAGATGCAGGACGATCACGATTTGGCGCAACACGTGAATGTCTTCAATCAAATCGTTTCTGATCTGGCTCGGCTTGATGTGAAAATTGAGGATGAAGACAGAGCGATGATTTTGTTGTGTTCGTTGCCTTCCTCTTACGAACACATGGTGACTACTCTTACATATGGGAAAGAGACTATCAACGTTGAGGAGATTACTGCAGCCTTGTTGGCTCACAACCAGCGAAAGCAGAATGCAGGGGAAAGCTCTCAAGCCGATAGCTTATATGTCAAGGGTAATCGAGATCGTGGACGGAAGCCAGAGAAGGCAGGGTCCGGGAAGCGGAATTCCAGATCCAAATCCAGGGATAAGAAGACGATTCACTGTTACAAGTGCAAGGAGGCGGGACATATGAAGCGAGACTGTCCGAAGTTGAAAAAGCAGACCGATGAGAAGCGTGATGGCTCATCCAAGTCTGTGAACGTGGTCGAGGATGATACTTCTGATTGCAGTGAGGGTGATATGCTTTCTATTTCAACGACACAATTGACGGATGCTTGGATTCTTGATTCTGGATGTTCTTATCACATCACGCCAAATAGGGAATGGTTTTCGACATACAAGCCGGTTAATTCTGGTTCGGTTTATTTGGGTGATGATCGATGTTGCAATATTGTTGGTATTGGTGATGTCAGAATTAAGATGCACGATGGCTCCGTTCGGACGTTGAGTGGTGTTCGACATATCCCAGACTTGAAGAAGAATTTGATTTCCTTGGGCACTTTGCACAAGAATGGTTTTATCCATAAGGCTGACGAGGATAGGGAAACCATTCGGATTGTTAAAGGAGCATTGACTGTGATGAAAGGCAAGATGACTGCAGGGAATATCTACAGATTGTTAGGGAGTACCGTTGCAGGTGGAGTTCACTCTGTTGAGTCCTGTGATGATACGACAAAATTGTGGCATATGCGCCTTGCTCATCTTAGTGAACGTGGTATGGCAGAATTACACAAGAGAAACTTGTTGCATGGTGTCAAAGCTGTAAGCTCGATTTTTGCAAGTATTGTGTTCTTGGTAAACAGACTAAAGTCCGTTTCAAGACTGCGAAGCACACAACTCAAGGGATTCTTGATTATGTGCATTCTGATGTATGGGGGCCTTCCACGATATCGTCTTTGGGTGGATCTAGGTACTATGTTACTTTTATTGATGATTTTTCACGGAAAGTTTGGGTGTATTTTTTGAAACAAAAATCTGAAGTTTTTGTGAAGTTCAAGTTGTGGAAAGCTGAGGTAGAAAACCAAACAGGACGAAAAATCAAGTGTTTGCGGTCTGATAATGGTACGGAGTACACAGATTCACAGTTCCTACAATTCTGTAAGGAGCATGGGATTCAGAGGCATTTTACAGTGCGCAAGACACCACAACAGAATGGTGTCGCGGAACGAATGAACAGGTCGTTGAATGAAAGAGCCAGATGTTTGCGGTTGAATGCGGGGCTTCCCAAACACTTCTGGGCTGAGGCTGTTAACATGGCGTGTTACCTTATCAACAGATCGCCAAGGGCATCGCTGGCTGGGAAAGTTGCAGAAGAGGTATGGACTGGTCATGATGTTAGTTTTGATAACTTACGGATTTTTGGTTGTCCTGCTTATGTGCATGTACCTGCTGATGAGAGATCCAAACTTGATGCAAAATCGAAGGAGTGCATTTTTCTGGGTTACAAGAAAGGTGTCAAAGGATTTAAGTTCTGGGATCCAGTTGCGAAGAAAGTTGTGATTAGTAGAAATGTCGTTTTTGATGAACAGTCTATGTTGCAGCAGAAGCAAGACACGACAGTGGTAGATTTCGAGCAGTTTCCAGTTGAGAAACCAGAAACTTCTCAACCGACTTCTGGGGGTTCCACTACGGATGATTTGCAGGATTATAGTCTCGCCAGAGACAGGGTGAGACGGACGAATATAAAGCCTCCGAACAGATTGGGTTTTGAAGACTTGGTATCTTTTGCACTTACTGTTAGCAGTGATGATCCAGTTACTTTTCATGATGCCGTTACTAGTCAGGAAAACGACAAGTGGATGGCAGCCATGGTTGAGGAGATGGAGTCTTTGAATCACAATCGCACATGGGAGTTAGTTCCCCTTCCTGAGGGTAAGAAGCCGATTGGTTGCAAATGGGTGTATAAGAAGAAACCAGCAGTAACAGAAAAAGAGGGGAGAAGTTCAAGGCTCGTTGGTAGCGAAGGGTTTTTCACAACAGAAAGGAGTTGATTATGATGAAATCTTTTCTCCTGTGGTCAGGCACACTTCAATCCGAGCAGTACTTGCATTGGTGGCTAGTTGGGATTTGCATTTAGAGCAGATGGATGTTAAAACTGCTTTTTTGCATGGTGATTTAGAGGAGCAGATCTACATGCGGCAACCTGAAGGTTTCACTCAACCTGGAAACGAGCATTTAGTTTGCAAATTGAAGAAATCTTTGTACGGGTTAAAACAGTCTCCGAGACAGTGGTATAAACGGTTTGACTCCTATATGATCAAGATTGGCTACAACCGATGTGAGTATGATTGTTGTGTCTATGTTAGAGCCTTGATGATGGTTCTTTTATTTTTCTATTACTGTATGTTGATGATATGTTGATTGCTGCGAAGAACATGGATGATGTTATCGGTTTGAAAACTTTATTGAGTCAGGAATTTGATATGAAAGATTTAGGCGCTGCAAAGAAAATTCTTGGAATGGAAATTTGCAGGGACAGAGACTCAAGGAAACTGCGGCTATCTCAACGGGGTTATGTTGAGAAAATGCTAGAAAGGTTTGCGATGAGCAGCACGAAACCAGTTAGCACTCCATTGGTGAATCACTTTAAGCTCTCATCAGAACAGTGCCCTAAGACAGATAAGGAAGCTGAAAATATGGCAAAGGTTCCGTATTCTAATGCTGTTGGCTGCTTGATGTATGCGATGGTATGTACTCGTCCTGATTTAGCTCATGCTGTTAGTCAAGTTTGTAAGTACATGTCTAAACCTGGTAAGCAACATTGGGATGCAGTCAAGTGGATCTTTCGGTACTTAAAGGGTACTGTGGGACATGGAATTGTTTTTGGGAGTCAGCGGGATAATCCTTTGGTTGTAGGATATGTGGATTCAGATTATGCAGGTGACTTGGATAATAGAAGATCTACGGCAGGGTATGTGTTTACTCTTGGTGGAGGGCCTATTTGCTGGAAGTCTACTGTTCAATCTGTCGTGGCACTATCTACAACTGAAGCTGAATACATGGCAGCGGCTGAAGCTGCAAAAGAAGCTTTATGGCTTACTGGTTTAGTGAAGGAGTTGGGTGTTCAACAAGGTGGAGTTCAGTTGCTTTGTGATAATCAAAGTGCTATTCACTTGGCTAAGAATCAGGTGTATCGTGCTAGAACTAAACATATTGATGTAAGGTTCCACAAGATCAGAGAGTTGGTTGCATCTGGAGAGGTTTTGTTTCAGAAGGTACATACTGATGAGAATGCCGCTGATATGTTCACCAAGCCAGTTACGACAGACAAGTTCAAGCATTGCTTGGACTTGTTGAATGTTTCGAGTTGTTAAAGAAGCAAGGTAACCCAACCCACATTGAAGTTTCCAAGGGGCAGGATATTCGCCAAGGTGGAGATTTGTTATGTATGGCTCATAAAAAGTCTCGTTGTGGGGTTACAAATTATGTGGGTTGGGGGTGTGGGGGCGCAGCCCCCGCGGTACGGTACAGGGTTGATTTTGTAATTATGTACCAGGGTTTTCTATTATAAATAGAGATGTAACCTAGACCTAAAATATTCATTGAATAAAACTTCTAGCGCCGCCTAGGCACCGAGGACGTAAGCACATTGCCGAACCTCGTAAAATTCTCGTGTTCTTTCGTTTTCTTTACCCGTTTTCGTCAACAGTGTCTTTCCAGGAAGCCAGGACAACAAACGTAAGAAAAGATTCTGTCTTGCTTATCAGATTTCTGTCTTCAAATTCTTCTGTCATCTCTAGATATTCAGATGCACATCTTAGTGCAGCTACATTATTGGGGTTTAAGTCTGCTGGGCAGCCGTAACAAAATTTTAGAATAATCTCTGATGTATCTGGTCCACCAGGAAATTTCTCAAGCTTCAGATCATGCCCAAATTTTGAGATTGAATGCTGATGTTCCATCTGTCCAATGTAGCCACATTTTGATACCAAGGGATACTGTTTCAGGAGAACACATGATAGCTAGCTGTTAGATACCAAGGTTAGTTCTCTATCATTTTATTCATTAATCTAAAGTTGACACGTTTTTGTGTTAATTGATACTATGTATATAGAAAGAGTAGATGGTTTCTTTCATCGTCCAACTTGGTCAGAGATTATTCAGATTTTTATTCAGTGTGAAAAGTTTGAATCCTAGAAATCTGAACCTGTGATAAATCAGGGTTTAAAGCAAAGTGCTTTATTTGCTAATCATCTATAGTGTGTGTGTTACATATATCATATCATATCACCAGGGGTTTTGAATGTTCTACAGTTGCCTTACTCTATGCTTTACCTTATTTGTGTTCTTGTATATTTTGTTTAATTATTGAAGCTTTCTGCAGTGTAGTTTAGCAAAAGAAGGGTTAATCAAGAAAAGAAAGGGTCTAGATAGTTATGCAGGTCATATGAGATGCTACACAAGATCTTCTCAAGTTTGCGGGTTACCTTGTGAACATTAAAGATTACGTCTTGAACTTGGATTGCTAAATCTGTAGGGATTTGAGTTGTGGCAAACCTGCATTCACCCAAAACAGAAATTAACCAAGAGCTTCGGAGATAAATATACTTTGAAACAAATGGTAAATAGATTATGTTGATTACAAGACAACAACTATGTTGTGAATTCTAGTTTTTGGATTGAAGCTGGAGAGCTTGAATGGCATGGAATGCATGCTTTTACGATGAGAGTTCTTTCCTTTCGAGGCTATCAGCTGCGATGATGAGTTTATTAGGAACTTCGATACTTTGATCATAAGCTTGATTGCCGGTGCCATCAGTGTCACTTCCTGCAGGACTTTGAGGCTGAGGAATTTGAAGAGATTTCTTCATGCTAATTCTCTTCCAGCAAAAACAGGAATTTGAGATTGGTCGAAGAGTATTTGAAACAAAAGCAGGGTGCAGTTTGAATAAATGCGAGAAGCAAGTCTGTGGCTGGAAGACAAATATGGCCAAGTTGGTTGGTGGTGGGCTTCTCATTTCACTGTTTTATTTTATACATGGATAATAATAAGAGGAACTGTTGGGAAAAAGATGGAGATGGATCAAGGTTTGATGTGTTATAATTGAAGGGAATGTTGGGTATGATTTGTCAATTTTTGAACTACTTATGCCTTTGGATCAATATTATTTAATGGTGATTGTGTGGCCGATGGACCATTTCCTCACACTCTTTACGATATTCTAAGGTGATGTTTTTTTTTACAGAGGTAAAATGTCTGCAGTCTGCGGACCACATCTGCAGGCATCTGCAGCAGAAGAGGTGGACCAAAAGTCTGCAGTCTGTAAGAAGAAGATTGTTTGTTTTTTAACGTCTGCAGACTGCTAAAATGAACTGGAATATAAATAAACTGATTTTTTTAAACTTAAAAGAGTTTTGCAATACTGAGATTTAAATAATTTTAGTTTTACAATACTGAAATTTAAATAATCCATACAACTACAATAATAAATTATTTAAAATAAATCAATCCATACTAATAAATTATTTAAAATAAATCAATCCATATTTTAAAATAAATCAATCCATACTAATAAATTATTTAAAATAAATTATTTTAAAATAAATCAATCTATATTTTATAATAAATTATTTTAAAATAATTAAAATAAATTATTTTATAATAAATCATTTTAAAATAAATTATTTTAAAATAAATAACCTTATTAAATTATTTAAAATTATTTTAATAAATAACTATATTTTATAATTATTCTTGAAGATGTTTGAAGACCTTTGAAGACATAAAATAAAGTCTGCACCAAGAAGAGCTCGCGCAGACGTTTGAAGAGCTTCTGTTTTCTAAAAAACAAACAGTCTGCGAAGCCTAATGTCTGCACGTGGTCTGCGCGACGCAGACATAAGTGGTTTGAAGAGCTTGCACAGTAAAAATAAACACCACCTAAAACTCTCTCTTTGATTAGGAAAGTTATCGACTTTAAGTCAAGGCCATGTCATTTAAGAATAGCAACGAATGATGTATATTGTCAAATTTCGTTTTTTATCTTGATTTAGATGCAAGAATGGTGGAGCTAGGATTGAGTTTTGAAGGGTCAACTGTATGAAGACAAAACATATTTAAACTAAAAGGTTAAAAGACAATTTTATCAACATTCAGATTTAGTAATTTCAAATTGAATTAAATCAAAAAATTGGTTTTTGGGCAGACTAGATGGATAACTTGGGTATGGTGGAGGAATAAATGGGTTTGGGCCCCAAAATAATTGGGGGATTTTTAACGTTAGTCAAAACCATATTATTATTGCATTTGACTTTGTCTTTGCTTTTGATAGGCATATAATTCAATTATGCAAATTAAATTTGTGATATAAAATTTTTCGTATAAATGCTAATTGAGCTTAGTTTAATTGATATTATCATTGATATTGTATCATTTCTAATTCAATCTAATTAAAAATCAAATCAATAATGTCACGTAAATAAAATTTAACTAAAAAATGGATAAAATTAAAGATTCACATTTATCTAGACATAATCAAAGACTTAAAGGTAAATTATTGAAACATCAAAGTCATGATACAAATCAAACAAAACTGAAGGACCATTTAAAAAAATTAATCATTTAGTCTATTGGTATTGATACTAAGTGATCAATATCGATAATATTAAAACTGAGGTTTTATTTAAACGATATCAAATTGCTTACCACTTGAATCAACCTATGTTGATATACATATATTTCTTTTAATAAAGCTAATACTTCCTATTAATTTGAAATCATATTATCTGAATAATATTAATATTAAACACACAAATAATCAAATGACTCCTTTAAATTAATCTTTAACCCTTCAAAACATCCACTAAACATCATGAAAGTAACGGGTCATAGTTGGAGGTTTCTCGTGGTGTTTACATAAAAAAGGATATTAAGAAAACTCACAAGCGTTCTTCATTTTATTCCATCTTTAAAATTTCCGTTTCCACCGAAATAACAATCATAACAAAATTTTCCGTGAATAATCGGATTTTATTGGCAAAAAAAAAAAAATAGAGAGAAGTTGGAAAAATGCCGACGGTGTCCCCTCTGGCGAAATACAAGCTGGTGTTCTTAGGAGATCAATCCGCTGGGAAAACCAGCATCATCACTCGCTTCATGTACGATAAATTCGACACCACTTACCAGGTAACTTTTTATTCAACAATTCCACGCGACTCTTCCTTGATTCATGCCGACTCCACGATGTTTTCACCGTTTCTTAAATTTCTCTGTTTCTTATGTTGTTTGAATTTGTTTAGTTTCCGCATTCGATTCATAGATGTCATTGTTACTTATTGATCTGGACTCTTAATCCCGGACTCAATATCTTCTCTGCTTATGTTGTTGTTCTGGAGCCTTTTGAAGACGATGATAGTTTTTCACGGCTTGATCTGTAACGTAAAAGGAATTATGATCAGTTTGCGTTAATACGCGAACACTGATCTTTGTTTATTTTATCGTTAGTGTATATATATTTTCCCCTCTATGATAACTTTCGCTAGTTCATTGAATTTGAATTTTACTTCCACCGGATCGTAGAATGGTGGATTGAAGAAGATTTTGCACATTATTTGTTGATATAGATTAATTGCAGGCCACCATTGGAATTGATTTTTTGTCAAAAACAATGTATCTAGAAGATCGAACAGTTCGTTTGCAGCTTTGGTAATATAATTTCTTACTTTTCTATCTCGCTTTAAAAATGTAGATCTCTAGAACTATTGCTTTTATATGATGAATGAAACAAGCAATTAAAACATATTTCTTTTTGAACTCATTGCATATTGGTTAGACAATAAATTTGTTATACCATTTCATTGGTTATCAGAAATCACAAAAGCACATAGATAATAAATAGGGGGCCTCGTACTCATCAATAGCATAAGATCTACCCAATGGCATGACAGAATACATGCATGCAACTATTAAGTCCTATTAACAAGCAATCAGAGACTTAGACAGGATTATAGTCCCTTCCAGTTGATTTCATTAGAGGCTGAGCTCCGGTAACTGTATGAGTAGTTTAAGACTTCTCAAACACTCCACCGACAAGACCAATTATACTCCACCAACAACAATAAAAGACCATACAAAGGACCTTAAATGAACTCTTGACCATCAATTGATACGTGGCCAAGGAACAATGAGATACAAATGTTAGAAATCCTACAACGGTGGAGCAACCACAGCCGAAAGTCACCAACACCTTTCTCCGGCTTGGGACTCAAAACCCAAAATCAACATGCATAATACCAAGAACAGCAGGATAACAACTTTTATTATCAGCAAAATTCTAATGAAGGTATGTGATGGTAGAAATTTGAAGTTTTACTTAAAGAGTTGAATAAGTTGAAAACTGTTTAAACCCTACCTCTAATTTGATCTTGAAAGAAAGAAGTCATTTACTCCCTTAAGGATGTTAATAGTTAGATGGAAACACCCAGATAGATATACTGCTCAAATGCACCCAATAAGATGCATCCGAGGGGAACTACAAATGTAATAATAAGCACTTAAAAATGGGCAACTCGACCTGACCCTCTTATCAACACAAAAGATAATATAAACCTCATTCGACCTTTCAGCAAACCCTTAGCCTAAACAATGTAGGGATGGGGTCTCCCCGATCATCATCTTTGGAGGAAAATAATTATCTTGAACATAAGACAAATTTGAGGCATCAGGTCAATGTTGCTGAAAAAATATTTGTTAATGAGAGAAGTGTCATATCTAGGATATACCCAATATACCCCACTTAATGTATCATTGTCAGAGGTTATCTGTTAGGTGAAATCCACAAGAATACTCTAGCCTAGACTCTCTTGAAAAAACATCCCACCAGCGAAGGGACATTACGCATTATTAAAGACATCACATGCATAGGGGACACTCCATGGAGAGCTGCATATCCCTCAAGGATGTTAAAACAATAGTCAGATGGAAACACCCAGATAGATATATTGCTCAAATGCACAGACAAGACAGGGAAGAATAAGCACCCAATAAGATACATCCAAGCGTCAATTTTTTTAAAAATTCGAGTTTGGGTCGAGTTTTTCTAAGGACGAGATTGTGTTAGATCATATTTGAGTTTAGGGTGAAAACTACTCGATCTAACCCAAGAAAATAATATAATTATCTCTTAAATAATTAAGAATAATTACAATAATATTTATTTATCTACATCTTTTCAATTAGATTTCTATTTTATCTAATAAAAATAAAAGTATTATATATGTGTGTGTCAGGTCGAGATCGAATACATGTTTTCCCACAAAATTGGGTCGATTTTCAGAGTGAAGTCTCCTTAAATCCCAAATGGATTCGATGACGAGTAGATGAGTGTAACACTTGGGTGAGGTCAGGTGGGTCAAAAACCCCTACCCATGCTCATCTCTCACTTACTACCCCTAAAAATAGCTTAGATCCTAACAAAGTCATTTCAGTGAGCTACTCTTCGAAGAGACCTAGGCTTGAAGAGGATTGGAAAGTCAATTTTCAAGATAAGGATATGGCTCAGAGTGAGAGGAGATGATGGATGACATTCCAATAGTTTCTGCTCGAATAAACAATTTTCTCATCATAAGTGTATTGGAGGATAGTGACAGTCTCGTAGGAATGTTACAATGAGAAGCCTTCTAAAAGATGAATATCCCAGCTCTTTTTATGCGGTCAGGAAATGTGACAACTTTATAAAATAGAAATAGTTCATTTTTGTTGTATACCAGTTTGTAGTAAACACCTCTAAGTTTATGTTTCCCCCCCCTTAAATACCCATGTTTGAACAGATTTGAGAAAAATAATTATGATATTTCTCTAACAGTAGATTACATCTTTTAAAGTAAGAATTAGTGCAAAAAATAGAAAAGAATCCCTAAAAATTAGGAAATACAATTAGAGATAAATTTACACTAAGTCAACTCCTAAAAATAAGGAAGAAGATTCAGTCCCTTAATTCTAAGATTTCCAACACTCCCCCTCAAGCTGGTATGTAGATATTTATCAATCTCAACTTGCCAATAAAATCTTTAAACACATTCTTACTCAAACTTTTAGTTAGCAAGTCTGCAACTTGTTGCTTAGTAGGAAGATAGGTGATACAAACTTCTCCTAAATTTACATTCTCTCTGATGAAATGACGATCTATCTCCACATGTTTAGTACGATCGTGATGAACTGGGTTATGTGCTATACTGACAGTAGCTTGATTATCACAATATACCTTCATAGGTTTAACATAGGATACTTTAAGTTCCTTCATTAATCTTTGTAACCAAATTCCTTCACATATACCATGAGATAAAGCTCGATATTCTGCCTCTACACTGCTACGAGCCACAACAAATTATTTTTTACTTCTCCATGTCACAAGATTGCCCTACACATAGCTACAATAACTACTTGTAGATAGTCTGTCACTCACTGATCCTACCCAATCAGCATCAGTGTAAAGTTCTATGTCACGACTGGTGTTTTTCTTGAAATGAAGACCTTTACGTGGTGTTCCTTTCAAATACCTTAGCATCCTGTAAACCGCCTTCAAATGTTTTTCCTTTGGAGCATGCATATTCTGACTGATGACACTCACACCGAATGCATTATCAGGTCGGGTGTGAGATAGATAAATTAGTTTTCCCACGAGTCGCTGGTATCTCCCCCTGTCTACTTCTTCCCCATCATCATCATTGCCTAGCTTAGAATTGAACTCCATTGGGGTCTCGGCAGGTTTACAACCTAGCATGCCAGTTTCAGACAATAAATCAAGAACATACTTTCGTTGGGAAATAGAAATGCTTGTCCGAGTCCGTGCTACTTCCATACCAAGGAAGTATTTGAGACTCCCCAAATCTTTAAGCTCAAATTATGTGTTGAGGAAGTCTTTTAGTTTCAACAGCTCACTCGAATCATCTCCTGTTAGAATAATATCATCAACATACACGATAAGAATAGAGTATTTCCCATTTCCCGAGTGTTTGTAAAATAGTGTATGATCTGCTTGTCCCTGGGTGTAATTCCTGCTGGTTATAGCCTTGGAAAACCGACTGAACCAAGCTCTTGGGGATTATTTTAGGCCGTATAGTGACTTCTTTAATCTACATACTCTCTCTTTTTTTTCTTCAAAGCCTGGTGGAAAGTCCATGTATACTTCCTCGCTCAAGTCTCCATTGAGGAATGTATTTTTTACATCAAGTTGTGTTAAGGGCCAATCAAGGTTGACAGCTAAGGAAAGTAGCACTCGAACATTATTCAACTTTGCAACGGGGGCAAACGTCTCATCATAGTCGAGACCATAGGTTTGAGTAAAGCCTCTTGCCACAAGCCAGGCCTTGTATCGATCAATACTCCCATTAGGCTTGATTTTTGTGGTGAAAATCCATTTACAACCCACAGTTTTCTTTCTTCCTGGCAGATCTGTAACTTCCCATGTCCCATTATTTTTGAGAGCATTAATTTCTTCAAAAACAATATGTCTCCATTCGATTGATTCCAAAGCCTCTTTCACATTTCTTGGAGTCTTTACACTGTCAATATTAGTTACAAAAGTTTTGTAAGCTTTAGATAAATTTTCATAGGATACAAACCAAGAGATTGAATGCTGAGTACAAGCTCTTGTGCCTTTACGAACATCGATAGGAAGATCTATATCCGACGAACCAGGAGACTGATCTGAAACAGGACAGTCCTCGGAGTTGGATGAATTTGGCACTGCTGCTGTGTCATTTTTAAGAGGAAAATGTTTCCGAGAATAAAAAAATATTTCTGGAGGCCGTAGCTGAGGTTTCTCAGAAGGATTAGGTTGTTGAAGCTTACTTCTAATGGGGATTTCATCGATGGAAAATTCATTTCTCTCCAGTGGAACACTCAAATCTGGTGTGATGAGGACAAGGTCACCCTTAGAATTTTGTGTGACAGTGGTGTTAAGGATAGACTCAGGGGGTATAATAAGAAGAGTATGAAGAGTCTCATCTTCACTAAGAGTCTCCCCCTGAAGATAAGTGGCAGAAAAATACGGGTCGGTTTAAAAAATGTGACATCACGAGAGACAAATATGCGACGCAAGGTGGGTGAGTAATATTTGTATCCTTTTTGTGTGGATGAGTAGCCAACAAAGACGCATAGGTGTGCTCGGGGATCAAGTTTGGATTGATTAGGTTGGTGATTATGTACAAAGGCTTTACAACCAAATATCTTGGCTGGTAGGATAGGAACACGAAACAAGGGAAAGTTTTTTTGTAGGACATGTAAAGGAGTTTGGAGATTAAGAACTCTAGAGGGCATACGGTTTATTAAATAACATGCAGTAAGGACAGCCTCCCCCATAGGTATTTTGGAACTTTCATGGTAAACATTAAGGCTCGAGCAATAGCTAGTATATGTCTATTTTTTCTTTCTGAGATCCCGTTTTGTTGGGGTGTGTCTGGACAAGAGCTTTGATGAATAATGCCCTGTTCAGAGAGATAAGGGCTTAAAACAGAATTGAAATACTCCCTTCCATTATCAGTGCGTAGCGTGTGTATGTTTGAGTCAAATTGGGTTCGGATCATGGAGTGGAAATTCTGGAATACCTTTGGTGTTTCTGTTTTTTATTTTAGAAGGTAAACCCAACATACTCTAGTATGGTCATCAATAAATGTTATGAACCATCTATCCCCTGTGATGTTTTTAACACGACTTGGTCTCCATAGGTCACTATGAATCAAAGAGAAAGGTTTGGATTGTATATAAGGCTTTAATGGATAAGGAACACGGGTATGTTTTGACAATTGATAGATTTCACATTTCAGGGAATTGATTTTTTTATTCTGAAATAACATAGGGAGCAAATGCTTCAAATACAGGAAATTTGGATGTCCTAACCTACGATGCCACATCATGATAGTGTCCTCGTTTGAAGCAGAGAGAGCAAATACTCCTTTTTTATTCTTGTCCTTGTAGTCATCCCAAATATAGAGTCCATCATTAACCTTAGTAGTGCCAATCATCCTCCCTGATTTCTGTTACTGTATAATACAACCATCATCAGAAAATTCAGCACAAACAACCTTGTCTTCGGTAAGTTTACTTACTGACAGTAAATTTCAAGATAAATTCGGGACATAAAGAACTTTCTCGAGTGAGAAGTCCTTAATGAGTCGAACAGCCCCAATTCCAGCAATAGATGAGTATGAACCATCAGCTATCCGAATTCGAGATTGGTTGTGGCAGGGAGCTTACGTATGGAATAATGATAAATTACCTGTCATGTGATCGGATGCTCCCGAATCTAGAATCCAGGATGGATGGTTACTAGATTAAGAAGTAATATTAAAAGCAATACCTTGAATAGCCAAGGAACCATGGCTTATTGGTGCACCGAGTAACTTGTGAAGAGTTTCAAGTTGGGACTTTGTTAGGCGAACATCCTGAATGACTTCAGTAGGTACAGGGGTCGCAATGGATGAACTGCCCAGGGATAAAAGAGCCTTGTTTTCCTTCTGAATTTTTGTTATACCAGGATAAAAGAGCCTTGTTTTCCTTCTGAATTTTTGTTTTCCTTTGTGTGGCCGGCACGGTTACAATAGCTACACCACAGTCGATCTCCTGAGCGACTTAGTTTTGAATCATTCCCTGCTTGAATTTTTTGAGATTGAGGGCCCCTTGAGACCAGGGCAGATGATTCGGTAGGACTATGACCATAATTGGTCACAAGTTTTGGTTCCTTGGAATCTCCCATCATTACTCGGCGACGATTTTCTTCTCTTCGAACCTCTGTAAATGCTTCTCCAATGGTTGGAAAAGGGGTCCTACCAAGAATACGGCCATGAACTTCATCCAAGTCTCGGTTCAGCCTTGCTAGGAACTCATAGAGCCGTTCTTTATTGAGATGTGACATGAACTTGGTGTGCTCCAAGCCTTCACCCCAGTCCACTTCATAGTACATATCGAGTTCCTGCCATAAGACTTTTAAGTTGTTGTAGTACTGTGTAACTTCAAGAGTTCCTTGTTGAATGTCTTTTAAATTTAGCTTGATTTCAAAAACTTGAGAAGCATTTCCTAGATCAGAATAGTTCTCCTTGACTGCATCCCACATTTCTTTTGCAGTCTTGAACAAGAGGTAGGTTCGGCTTATGTGACTCTCCATGGAGTTGATCAGCCAAGCCATGACAATAGAATTATTGAGTTCCCACGTAGCATATGTAGCATTAGTAAGTTGAGGACGTGGAATTTCTCTACTGATATATCCTAGTTTCCCACGACCTCGAATCACCATGAATATCGATTGGGACCACTGTAAAAAATTCTTCCCATCTAATCGATGATTAGTGATTGTGAGGGACGAATTAACATCACTATGAGATAGTGCTTGGTTGACATTCTGAGTTACTTGTGAAGTCTCAGAATCAGAAATATTTCCAGTGTTTGCCATGATAGAAAAACAAGACACGAGAGAAAAATAAAGAAGTAGAATGGATCAGAAATATCCCTGCAGCTCTGACACCATGAACAGATTTGAGAAAAATGATTCTGATATTTCTCTAACAGCAGATTACATCTTTTAAAGTAAGAATTAGTGCAAAAAATAGGAAAGAATCCCTAAAAATTAGGAACTACAATTAGAGACATATTTACACTAAGTCAACTCCTAAAAATAAGGAAGAAGATTCAGTCCCTTAATTCTAGGATTTCCAACAATGTTTCATGGATATATTTGGGCATGGATGAGGGGATATGCCATTCCATGCATCCTTCAAATAAATAAACAAAAACAGTGAATAATCAGGACAAACATAAACTTGCACCGGATACTTACACTCCAGTTCGAGTACCTATTTCGGTTATCCAATTTTCTAGTCTCCGTTTTAATTTCATCTTATAATTGCACAGGGATACTGCAGGGCAGGAGAGATTCAGGAGTCTAATTCCTAGTTACATCAGAGATTCTTCTGTTGCAGTAATCGTCTATGATGTAGCTAGTGAGTATAAAAAGTTAACCCAAGTATTCGTCATCTTTTCAAATAAATGAAATGAGATACTAACGGAAAGGTCATTTATATTCTCATTTACATTCCTCGCTTGGCTATATCCTTGCAGATAGGCAATCATTTTTGAATACTTCTAAATGGATGGAGGAGGTACGCACAGAACGAGGCAATGACGTTATTATTGTACTTGTTGGGAACAAAACTGATCTGGTTGACAACAGGTTAGTGATGAGTAATTTTTCATATTACTAGAATCAGAAGAGCTTCTTTACTTGTGTTTATTCAAATTTTTACAGTAAAAATCTGATTATTACAGACTACATTTCATGAATACCATTTGGGTCAAAGTTGTTTTCATTTATATTTTGTGATGATGATTAAACAGGCAGGTTTCCATAGAGGAAGGAGAAAACAAGGCTCGTGAATCTGGGATCATGTTCATAGAAACCAGTGCAAAAGCAGGATTCAATATCAAGGTGAAAAGGCAACATTTTCTGTTAGTTATAACGAAGCATTTTCAAGTCTTGCATACACATCTTCGCTAATTTCTATTATGAATGTAACATTGCAGCCTCTATTCCGCAAAATAGCGGCGGCCTTACCAGGGATGGAAAGTCTTTCTTCAACAAAACAGGAAGACATGGTGGATGTGAACTTGAAGTCCACAGCCAATTCATCCCCAACAGAGCAACAAGGAAGGGGGTGCCCATGTTGAAGAGAAATGTACCATTTACTAAAACCTTAAGGGAGAACAAAATGAAGCATTTGAATTTAGCAGAATACAGTAAAGATATGTTCCATAGCAAAATCATTTTTGGCCCTTCAGTTTATACTTCCATGCATTACAAGTAAGTTCTCAGTGTTTTTATGTCTCGGAAAAAAAGAGAAGAAAACAGACTCTTTTTGTGTTTTTTTTTTTATTAGAGAAACATTGGGCTCACTAATTTTGGTGTAATCCGATTTCATTGATGTTATTATCAAACTGAAGAGGAAGCAAATGAAAGCAGGAGAAACATTGCATTATTACGAGGAATGTTTTATTTTTCTTTGACTCTTATAATTAGGGATGCATATGAATCGAGTTTTTGATCAATCGAGATATTTATATTTCGGCAACAAATAATTAATACAAAGAAATATATGCCAAGATGATATAAAGCATTGTCATCTCTTGGCCAAATATTATTATTTTAACTAGCACATATATCTTCAATTACAATTTATAAACTACATATTTTTTTTGAAAGAGGGTACTTTGTATTATGAACAGATGCAAAGCACCACCTCAAAGACCTTATTAAAAAAATCTTTCTAACCCTAAATAGAGGAAAAAGAGTGAACCAAGATGTGGAAATATCCATTACAAGTAAAGCTCAAACACCTCACCAATGGACAGAAACCTAAATACAATCATTCCCCATCAACAATAAAACAACAGCAGACCACTAAACAAAAGCCACTCATTTCTTGAACCCAAACAGATGCTGGAAAATCTTGCTACTTTAAAAGCTCCAATGAAACTATGAAAACCAAACTTTTCGCTCCGCCCCTTCGACTTCTTCAAAGCAGAAATAAAGAGACACCTAAATACCGCCCTTAAAACATTCATCACTTTGCACATAAGCAGCACAGCTTTGTAAAACAAAACACAGAATGGTTCCCCTTAAACAAGCCAAGAAGACCAGACTAAATGCCTCCACAACCCCCTGCAATACTACACCTTACTCTCCAAACAAACAAAAATCTTAAGATTAAATAGAGACAGCGAAAGCTAGACCTTCCACATCCGACTTCGAGAAGAGCAATGATCGAAGAAATCAGTGTTCAATCTTAGCAATTGAAGTAAACCACCAGGAAACCGCAAGCCAACCAAAAACACTTGAAAACCACAGCAATACAGATAAACAATAACAAATTACTAAAAACCTAAAACTAAGATACTAATACAAATCAACTCCAACTCCTCTTAGGTACCACGACAAACCACGTTGACCGAAACCTTGTACCTCACGCAGCTCTTAAAGACAGAATCTCCTTTGCTTCAACAAAAAGCAGCAGCCCTCCTAATATTCAAATCCGAATCTATGAAAAACAGCACATAATTCCACCTCAGAATCCACGTGCCCCCTACTATCTTCATCCGAACCAATAAAAAACCATTCCTCTGACAAGGAGAAGCATGCGTAGCAACCGCATAACGTCTTGTCTGGGGACCAAATTCTGCAGCCCATTACTCTTCAAACAAAGAACCATCACCTACTTCCTCAGCAACTGAACGACACGCTCCACCACCAGCAAACGAACCATCTATGAACGCTCGAGGCTCTACATGAACTTCGTTTAAGAACATCACTTCCAGAACCAACATCAATAAAGAAACCAAAACTAGAACCTACTCAAACCTCTTCTTTGGAAAGAACACACACAGAACCTCACCATAGCGACCCACAAGCCATAAACCTTTCCAAAGAAAAGTGTTTGGTAGGTTATCCACAAACAAAGAAGCAGTTACCAAAAGAAATCCAACACATAATTGAGAAATAAACGAAAAAAAAATTGTTCATAATATCGTAAGTTCAAAAAATTTAACGTGACATAAATAATTCATAAGATAAATTTGGAAAATATCTTAACAAATTATAACTTTATTTAATTTTGAGATAACTTTGTCCAGAGACTGAGTTAAAATTAAACATTGAGAAGAGTAAAACTTTACCAAATATTGAAATTAAAAGAAATACAAGAAAAAAAGTTATTTAATTAATATTTAAACTAAAAAATTCTAAAAATATTATTATTCCAAATTATTTGGAAGAATGGCTTTTCCCTGATTCTATTGCTTATCTATCCCGTATGTTATTAGTATTTTGGTTTAGGATTAAGATAACTCTAATCCTTCAAATACCTTATGTTTTTGACACATTTAAAAAATGTGGGAAATTAAAAAAAACACGTGTACAATCGTATAAATGCTAATATTTCACCAAATCTCTGTTTTGAAAATCGGACCGGTCGGTTTAACCGGGAACCGTTGCTTAGTCCGGTTCAATCTAAATCGGTTGAACCGCTATTAGTGAACCGGTCAGAACTGTTGAACCGTTCGAACCGGACCGGCTGAAAATCGGAAAAAACCGGGATTTTTGTTTTTTTTTTTTAAAAAATTAAACCAAACAACGTCGTTTGTTAAACGAGCCAAGTCGAACTCGTGTATTGCTGAGTTCGACTCGAACTTGAAAACTTTAAAAGTAAGCTCAACTCAACTCAAACTCACAAGCTAAAAATTATTAAGTTCAACTCAAACTCGAAATATAATATTGAAACTTGAACTCAAAAAGGCTTGAACTCAAAAAAAATTAGAAGCTCGATTGAAGCCTAAATTTCGAGTTTGATTGAAGTGAAAGAATAGTTCACTCAATGCTCACAAAAAGACTCCATGATTTTGAATGTCAAATTACCTCTATTATTTATAGAAGTTAGTTGTAACGCGCTTCTATATTTCTTAGCGATGTGAGATTGTTTTGTTCTCATATTTTTACTCTTTAGACTTTTGGGATGCTCTTCTATGTTTCTTAGCCATGTGAAATTATTTTTTTTTAAAAAAATAAACCAAACAATATCATTTTGTTATGATTTTTTTAACCCCAAATTTATTTTTTAATTATAGTTATATAAATATATTTATTATTTAATATGTTTTACTTTAAATATTATGTTGTAGTTAATTTGAATCATTTTGTTTCACTTGATTTTATGATTTTTAACTTATATATATTATGACTTGCTTTGAATATGACTTGTGATATAAAAAATTATTTTTTATTAAATATTTTTGGTATTTTTATTTAATTTTTTAAATAATTATGACGTCGTTCGGTTCTTTCGATCGATCGAATCGATTCGACCGATTGAACTAATGAACCGATAACCGGTTTGCTAACCGGTCCGGTTCTGAAAACCATGCACCAAACTGAAAAACATTTGATCTCGTGGTTGGGTTGTTCACTTATTCAGAGCCCGAAGCACAAAGCAAAGGAACGAAGAAAACAAGTGAAATACTCGAAGAAAGCAAAGTAAGTACCTACCAATGATTATGGGGCTTCCAGTCGGAGAATCCTCGTCAGCATCTTTTTCCATATTATCATCATTCCATTTCCCTATTCTTCTTCTTCTTCTTCTTCACACCTCTCCCTTTCCTTTTGAAACCCACTAAATTTAATTCGAGCTTCTTCTATCTTTTTTTCCTTCCTTTTTTCTTTTGCTGCAATGTACAGTCCGGATCGCTGCTTGTTCATCGAATCGATCAGGGTTTCACTTCACAGCAGTTGAGTCTTGGTCGTCCGTTTCATCAGGGTGGCTTGTTTCTCAACGACAAAACAGTTCCTCCCTCGTTTGTTTCATCCATTTCACTAAAGACCCAGAAATGTTTTTGTTGATAAAACCGACAATGTGTGTGTGGTTTCTTGTGTTTTGGCTGGTCAGAAGATTGGTCATACTCTGTGTCCTGTGAAGTCGAGGAGAGGTGGCGGCGGCGGCGGCGGCAAAGGGAACTGGTTTTTATCGGTGAGTTTTCGAGGGAGGAAGGGTATGTTGGGGAATCAGGAGAAGATGATGAGAATTTGGAAGCAGTGAAAATAGTTGAAGAGGAGAAAGAGAAGAAGGGATCAGGTGCTTTGAATACCACCAAACATCTCTGGACTGGTGCTGTTGCTGCTATGGTTTCAAGGTTTTTGGCTCCCCGTTTATTTTTCCTAGTTGCATTTGAGTTTTTATTTTGTTACTTGGAAAAAAAATATGTGATTATGAAGAAAACGGTGGATGATTTGTTGGTGTATTCAGATGGAACACTAAATGACATAATTTTGATGGCAAATCTTCACTGTCTTAGACTTTTTCTGTTTTGACAAGTTTTTTTGCAAAGTATGAAACAGTATGACCTGATTAGTCTGAAATCAGAACCCTGAATTTATAAGTGTTGAAATTACACCACAGATTGACAAGTTTTATATCTGGAAGAAAGAATACAAGTTCTTATTTATGGGGGAAAATATTTAGAAGAAAATGGGTTGATTATCTGATATTGTTTCGAAGATCATATTCATTTTACACAATATATTACCTGATAATTTCAATTTTAATGTTGAATCCAAAGCATTACCAAGCTCACCTATTACACGATGGTGCAGGAATGGATTGATGGTTTTAGTTTTGTGTCGTACTTTTGCATCTCCTATGTTTCAAAGATTGTACCTTAACTGCTTGCTATGTGGTTCTAATTGTTGAATTATTATCTATTGAATCACAGTTTGTAGCTCAAAAAGTTGCTTGCTTTTGTAACAGGACTTTCATTGTTCCCTTGGAGAGATTGAAGTTGGAATACATAGTTCGTGGTGAAAAGAAAAATATTTTCGAACTTATTAAACAGCTTGCAGCCATAGAAGGGTTGAAAGGTTTTTGGAAAGGGAATTTCCTCAATATTCTTCGCACCGCCCCTTTTAAGGCTATCAATTTCTATGCTTATGATATATATATAGAAGTCAACTATTGAAATTGTCTAGAAATGAGGAAGCCACAAATTCCGAGAGGTTTCTTGCCGGTGCTGCAGCTGGGATTACTGCAACTTTGCTCTGCTTACCAATGGATACTGTATGTGACAATTTCGAACTTTGTTATTTGCTTACATGTTATCCTTCCCTTTTTTGTATTGTGTCTGTGGTTTGATTCGGATTTGGGGAATTTTGTGGATTTTGAATGATTCTTAGTGT